GTAACTTCAATTATGAATTCAACATGAGTCACGGCGCTGCGTACAAAATTGTCCATGATGACTTCGGGTATAGGAAAATGTGTAGCAGATGGGTCCCAAGGCAGTTGTCCGATGATCACAAGCGCGCACGGCAGACGATTTGTCAGGAGCATTTGGACCGTCATGCTCGTGAAGGAGATGCTTTTCTCCATGGAAATGTGACAGGAGACGAGTCTTGGGTGCACCATTATGAACCAGAGAGTAAGAGACAATCGATTCAGTGGAAGCACACATCGTCTCCGGCCAAGAAAAAATTCAAGACAGAGGCTTCCGCTGGGAAAGTCATGCTTACCATCTTTTGGGATGTCAATGGCCCTATATTGGTGCATTTCCAGGAAAGGGGTGAAACTGTGACTAGCGCTCGTTACAGTGACATGCTAGTGAACAAGTTGAAGCCCGCAATACGATCGAAACGCCGGGGACTTCTCTCAAAAGGAGTATTGTTGCTGCACGACAACGCCCGCCCCCATACGGCTGCGCATACAGTGGATACACTACGTACTCTGAAATTTGAGGTATTGAAACATCCAGCATACAGTCCGGACTTGGCGCCATCGGCCTTTCACTTGTTTGGACCTTTGAAAGAGCATTTGCGGGGTCGGAAGTTTGCAGATGACAACGAGGTAATGGAGACGGTGCAAAGTTGGTTAAAGGCCACACCAAAAAGCTTTTTTCTAGAGGGCATCCGCAAGCTTGTGGACAGGTGGACCAAGTGTGTTGCGAAGCAGGGTGACTACGTCGAAAAATAAGACACAAGCAATTTCTGTAAGTACTCTTGTAAAAAAGTTATTAATAAAATTCCTGTTATTTAATGACTTTCCCTCGTACATGTTTTTTTGTGCATTTGAAGTCATCAGATTTTCTAACAATGGCCTGCTCGGAAGCTCCGAAGGTTGGGAGCTTGTTGGCAATTGGGATAAAAATGAAAATATCATTACCTTCCTACAAGAAGTGTATTTAAGCTATTCTTCATGTTTTACTTAAGAAAAAAAATTCCCCAAAAGTGAGATTTCGATATCCAATCAATTCAAATGCCCTCTGAGAAGCCAATGATTCCGAAACTGCGATATATAAATAAACAGATTTTTGCCAGGAAGTACACCTTGATAAGCTGAATGTAGCGATGACAAAAGCTTAATTTTTCTAATAATATGCCATTTTAGTGGTAAGGTATCAATATACTCTTCGCCAAAGAAATCTGGACCAAGGAGTTCAGTAATCTTGAAGAAATTTTGCAAACTTGCTTATCTCAGTCTACTATGAAGTTCGTCAAAATTTCAAGACTACGGGATGAAATATTATTGGAGAAAACATGCCAATAACTCCAATTTCAATAGCGGCAATGGGTTCACACTAATCTCCCAAAAATGGTTATCTAGGTGATCTTCATAGGAGAAACACAATCACTCTTGAAGATGCGCAGAAACTCAAGAAAAATTTTGAGATCGTGAGATGAAGCAATTCAGAAAAACTTGCGAAATGCTGGAAAAAATGTTGAGAAAGGCAACGCCATTAATGACGCCCGTTTCCTGGCTTTCCGGAAAGTGACGGAAATGTTATTGATTATCTGAAGATTGATTGTTATTCCTCTGAGACATGCATGCGAGACAGAAACTTGCCTGCACATTGAACGGGCCAGTCGGTTATTTTAAGGATGATAATGTGCCCTCCATGTAAATTGCGAACTACGGCCGCAAATCTTATCCCGTCAAAATGTGGAAAACTCACATGTAGACAGTCACATTTCGATTACCAACTATGTTGAATTACTGAACGTCGAATAAATGAAATAGCTAAAGTCAAAATGTCGAATGAGAGAAAAGTCGAAATATACTTTCATTTATTCCATCAATGAAGTCACGTCATACCAAACACGGGAAAATTGCACTAGGTCCAGGGTCCAGAAAGAAAAGCAAAATATTTGGTGGTCATAAACGTGATAACTGTTAAGCGGCATTCAATGCTCCACCTCCTCACTTTTCACGTGTAAGTACCCATGAAAAACTAACTATCTGCTACCTTTCTGGGAATGCACGTATCTCATGGTGATCTTGGTTACGACTGACGACTGACACTTTGCGGAAATGTGCGCTTCTTACTGATGTAATCATCTCCACCAACGCTGACAGATGCAGACAGATGATAGGCTGAAAAGGCCGTTCGATATCACTTCTTCGAGAGACACTTCTTGGACGGACACCTCCCCCGCCACTTCTTCGACTGAACATTTCGAAGAAAGCCTTTCAAAGAAGCGTCCAGTCGAAGTGGCAGAGGAGTGTCTTTCGAAGAAGTAACATGGAACCGACAAGGCAGTCTTTGCTGCCTCAAGGGAGCAAAGAAAAAATAAGAAATCTCCTTTTCTTGATTATACGAACCAGGAATCTAGGAACAGAAAGGAATGACATGATTTCGACATCTTGAAGGTTCTACGTTTTTCCGCGTTTTGACGCCTTCGGTATTGTAACAATCAACATTATGCCCATTCGACCATTGTTTATTCAACATTATGTGGCATTCGACGCTTTTGTTAGACGACATGAAATCCGACGACTTTGTGCTTTTCGACACTATGTTATAGAACCCCGCAAATACTACAGTACAGCATATAATGCATAGTATAATGTTTCACAGAATGCTGTGATTCAGCATTCAATTTATCAGTATCATATTCATCCCTCGTGTGCTGCCAGCATTCTATACTCCATTATTGGATTCATCCAATAATTACTCCTCACAAACTCTCACACTCCCTTTCAGGCACCATCCAGAGCCATGTTTTAAGCAGAAATTGGAATTCGGCATTCCCACACTTCGTGGCAGAAAAATGAATCACATCCAATTGGGGAGAAAAGCCAAAAATTGTAAACACTGTAACTTTTTTAATGAGCAATGATGTCCATGAACCTCAAACCATTAGAATGCGGTAAATTTTTCTTTAATTGCTGCTATCAATAAAGAAATTGAAGAACGGATAATGTAAACTGTTTTTTTGGGCCTTGATATGGACAGAAATTGCGAAATTTGGGCCGAATATACATTTGTAGTATGCATTTTCAGAAATAGATGTGCTTTGAAATTGTTTCATCTTTTATTCAAGTAAATATCAGATCTGAAAGTTTTTCAAGTTTGTTGAGCTGCGTAGAAAATAGCCCCACACAATTGAAATCCGTGCTTTTGTGAAATTTGTGGGGTCTTCTGCACATTTCTAACCATCACAGCTCTTCAAGTGGAAGTTATTGATTCAAGAATGGGACACACATCACTAGGTCTTCTCCAGCTGATTTAGAAAGCATACGTGATTCATGTTTCATGAATATGTAGAGGTTCTAAAAAAATAAAAAAAATAGCTTCGAAATTCTAACCACCATAAGAACAGTGGCCTTTGTTGCATTCCTTTTGGTCAATATAATTATGTCCTTCATAAGCCCAAGTAGCAAAAATGGGTGCATTTAATATCAAATGGACGTTCATTTCATGACCATGTGATATTCAGTTGAAATCACACAGACATCATCCCATTTAGGGTTGAAAATGTCACTGTCACAACGTCATATGGAAAATGTCACTTGTTTAAGGAAAATGATAATATTATGAAACAAGTTTACGTTCATTAATTACCATTCATCTATACTGGCAATGAAGTAGCCTGTGGTGAATCCTCAAACCTTGTTTCTTGGAATATTTTGAAGGACAGTATACATTTCATTCTATTAATAGATGCTGTGGGAAAAAAAGTTGGCATAGTACTGGCAAGAATCAATTGTACTTTCCTCATCGCCAAGCAAATTTACTTTATCATTTGAAATGCATATTATTCTGAGCCAACGACCCTTTCTGAGGATAGCATTTCCGTTTAATTTGTGTCTTTTAATTGAGTATGAAATTAAAAACTTGAAAGTATGAGTAATTAGAAGCTATATCCCTCTCTGCAAGTAAATAATAGGGTGACGCTCTCTTGCAATCCAATGAAAAGCACCCGAACGAATGCAGAATGAATTATGATATCGTTATCACGGTAGGCAGAATAAGGTCCCAAAATTACGTAAAAACAACGTCACTCATTTAAACTTACTGATACGACACATTAATGTTACATCACCTAATATTAATGAAGGTGACGTTCATTCTAGTGACGTTAGGCTTACGTACGAGTATATACGACATGAATTTCATCAGAGTGACAGAAAAAGGACATAGTGGACAATGAATGAATATCATGCATATCGTTAAAATGCTGCGTTGGAGCAAGAAGAGATTTCACTTTTTGAAAATTTGCATAAAAGGCTGCAAACCCGAAGGCAAAATTGTGCACACTAACTTATGGACCAAGAGAGATGCCACATGAGAAATTTCGTCAATGTTAAAGGGGTCACCGGCTGACCTACAGCTGATGTGAGATGGAAGGTCCTTGACTATTTTTAAGGTTATGATGAAAAGGAAGGAAGGTAATCCCAGTTCACCTACCATCTATGTATTGCTTATATATCAAAGTTCTAATAGGAATTACTTCAACCAAAGAGGCACACCAAGTAAGCCTTTTTAAAAACATTTTTTAACTGAGAAGAGTCAGATATTCATATATCAAGAGCACTTAATTTTTAACTTCGAAATATTACTATTATATTCTTTTACGCAATTTCGGTATTTTATTTTTTTGACTTAATATGCTAAAAATATGAAATATTTAGCAGCACTATCTTTATCGAAATCACGAGAGTTTTCTGCTCTGTCTCTCGTAAGACTAATCAAATAGGATTTTGTTTGACTGCATATGGTTCCATGAGAAGATTTCGAGACTTGAAAATAAAATATTTTGCTTAATATGGCAATCTTGGAGCATCGGCAACCTAGTGGTGATACACTAGTAAAATACCAATAATTACCAGTAAATTACTTGTAAATTACCAAAAAGTAATGCCTACTTCCTCCCTGGAACTGCCATATGGCTTCCGTAGTACTCTATGGAATCCCGTACCATCCTCGTGAGGGATCTGAAGAATTTTTTCGAACTGGAAAGACTCCCTCCGTGCGATTCCACGGGTCGGTGCAGGATACGTTTCCTCTCCTGCGGCAGATCGCCGGTGGACAAGGAATTCGTGCAGAAGAAGCTGGACTCGGCCCTGAAGGCGCAAGTGAGCCGAGCCCCCCCGACGGTCCACGACGCCACCTACGCCACGTTCTTGGACGTGGCCGTGCTTCGATGCCTGTTCCTGCCCCATTGGGTCGAGGACGGGGTCTTCTGGGCCCTCCAGTTCCTGTATCATCGGTCTGTGGCCTTCGCTGCGCTTTCGCGACGTGCCGTCGATGTCGGTGCCGAGTGAGTGGATGGCTTCTGTTCCCTCAGGTTGCAGGAAGTGCAGGACGAGGAGGCTCGAATGGGAAGCCCCAGGAAGCGCAGCAGTTCCCTCCCGCCCCCGACGCCCGAGCCGTTCGTATTCGAAACAGGTCCGTTCTCTTTCAAGTCCCTCCAAACCTCTCCAGGCTCCTCCAACCTCTCCCCCCAGGCCCCTCCAGGCCCCTCCCATCGAGACGGCAATAACGAATTCATTCCCATCGCAGAGGAGGATGGCGAAATCGAGGAAGGGCGACGAGACCAGGAAGATGAAGAAAGGGCGATCAGAGAAAGAGAAGAGAGAGAGAGAGAAAGAGACAGAGACAGAGACAAGGACAAGGACAAGGACAAGGACAAAGACAAAGACAAAGATAGACGTTCAGAGAAGAAAAAACGACGGAACCCCGTAGAAGGCTTCAAGCAACTCCTGGAATCGAAACTGAAGTCCTCCTCCGAACGCTCCCTGGTCCAAGTCGGTCACCACGACGTACGTGCCCCACCCACCCCCATCCCCCCCTGCGAAACAACCCCCCTCGTGAAACAACCCCCCTGAAAGTCGTTCCTCCCCGTCCAGGGACTGCTGAGCCCCACGCTGCCGGTCCGCCCCCTCTCTGCCATGGACGAGGCCCCGCCGTTCTTGCCCGGCCGCCTGAGCAAAGGCTCCAGCATGCCAAGTCTGAGGTGAGTGCGACCATTCCGATCTTTTCCCCCCGTTTCGACCGCCTCCCCCCGACCATAGATGTCACCCCCTTCGCCTTCTTCCAAATCAACCCGGTCCCTGCGCACCAACGGCGACCGTTGGTTCTCGGGCTCCGGACGTACCGATGCACAAGCCCCTTGCTCTGTTTCTCGGACTGTCTTGTACGTTCCATCTCTCCTTCCCCTCTTTCTCTCTTTTTCTCTTTGTCTCCCCCGCTCCTTAGCTCGATTCTAGACGAACTCTGCGCCGGGTAAGTGCCATCGCTGGCTCTTCCAAAGAAAATCTGCATCCGTGGTGATTTCCAATAGATTGTGTCGTCGGGACACCGCATACTTCACAGGGGACATCACCGCTACTCGTACCCTCACCTCAAACATGTTCTGCGCTGGTTATTCTAAAAATACATCTCTTGAAGGTATGCATGATCGCCAATGCAGTGACGTAATAATTTTCTATTCCTGCCTTAAGGCATTCTGAGGCAATAGCTTTGGTCGTGCCCTGTGGGCTCGTGTTAATTTCCCTTTTTATACGTATAATGTTTCGTGTTGGTTCACCGGTTCATGTGGTGGGCTTACTTTCTCAAGGAAATATTTAGAATCACGTATGGAACATTCCATGGCATTGCCATCATTTTGAGAGACATTTTGAAAAACAATATCTTATGTGTTGGCTTTCGATTGATGTTCGTACATTTCGTTCATTGTTTGTTCTCTCAAATGCAGGGAATGCATTAATTATATCATTTTAAGACCTTGCCACATTGTTCTCATTTTTTCTCCGTCCCCTCTTGTCGATTTCATGTAGGTTTGGGGTTGGGGAGTTGTGGGTTTTCTCCTACTGATTCCCGAGTTTTCTTAGCCATTCCTTCTCTTTCATTCCTAATCAACTAACAGATGCGTGGTTCAGGAAATCGAAGTTTAAATTCTCAAATTGGTTAGCATTTTCATGCCAGGCATTTTTTTTAATTTAGCGAAACCAGAAGACCTTCAAGGAATTACTGTCAATTCTCGATATACCGCCACTGTTCATCTTCGCCGATTTTGGCGCTATATCGAGGGAGACGCTATGCAGAAAAGTGCTGTTTTTTACTGAACATTTCCGAAATAACTAAAATGTAAAATATAATATAGTTGGCAAACAAATTCACCCATGCTGCCAATGGAGAACAAAAACCGCACGGCTCTGAACAATGATTCCCAATGTTTAGTTGACTTTCGGCCATATGTGCCTCCTCGTAATGCAGACTTCCACTTTTTCACTCAGACTTATTAATGTCCTTTTCCCCATTACTGGATAATGAACACACTCGAATAATCGCCTGGAGAAAGTATGAAATGAAAGAGGCTCCTTTGAAAGAGAATAAGATGCAGAATTAAGTCAGATTAAGAAACCTATTATGCCCCCCTCTAGTCCCTGGCGTCCGTGCCAAAGCTTAGTCATCCCGCACAATCTTGTTATCAAACGATCAAAAGAAAAGGCTGAGAGCATGTCTTTTTTCACCAAAGTAGTGTATGTTTTGATCATTGCAGCTGTTACGATATGCTACTTGGCGCTATATCGAGTACGACATACGTTGAATAAGGCACGTTTGTGCAAGACAAGGTATTGGCGGATGGCGGCTTGTGAGGGCGGCGCTATAACGGGGGAGTGCCAATGATAAGCCTATGGGGAAGATTCGTTCTCAGGAAAGAGTTGATGCTAAGCGAAAGTGGCGGTATATCGGGTGATGCTACCTCGAGGGTTGACTATATTTGGTTCTAAAATACGTAAAGATGTATGTATATAGATGTATAAATGTAAAGAGCCATAACCATAGCTTTCTCATCCGCATCCGAGAAAGAGGGAAGAATTCCATTCGGCACAAGAGTAGCCTCTGCATGGCACGGCAATGTCCCATTTGGAGAAATTCTTAAATTTCATGGGCAATCAATCAATTTGTGCAAATAAAAGTGTTATCAGCACGTTTAAATTTTGACGAACATGAAAGGGCAGAATTAAAATTTGCATTTCACAATTTATTAATTTGCCAAAGAAGGGGTTGATACAGACCTCAGTGCTGTTAACGTAATTATTTAGTAATTATGCCGCCAAAAGAATTACGTCAGAATATTTCTTAGCCAATGTGGGCTTCTAATTAGACATGCAACGATATTTTATCTGTATCGGTATCGGCCGATATTGAGTGAACCCGATATATCGGCCAAAAACGATATATTACCTGCCGATAACCGAGATTAAAATTACACCTGAAGTTATGCCAAACGCTATGTAAAGCGAATGATGTATATTCTCTACTTTTTCTAATTAGACAACATTTCACTTGACTCGAACACACGTTCATGGGACGTTCCTCATGCATAAGTGTCGAAGTCAAGTGAAAACACTGCAGAAGGTTGAAAACGCCTAAATGACAGGTTTTCATTTAAAAAAAAAGAACCATTAGACTGCTGAAAATGAAAGCATATTTCCCCTTTGGTTTGGGATTCCCCTGGGATTCGACCTTCACTGCCGCGGTTCCTCAACGTCCCACATGTAGGGATGGGAGCGCTCCGTGCTCGGGTACTCCCTTCCCAAGCACGCTGGCGCTTGAACTAGGAAATATATACTTAATTTGGCTTGGTTCGAGCCCAGGCCACCCTGTCAGGCGACATTAGCTCATTGTCTAGTCACCCAAGAGAGTGATGAGGGGCGTCATCTATTCAATTAATTTAGCCTACATGTTAGGACTGGGCCGATGGCCACATTTGACCGGTAGACTGATGCGCATTTTGAACTCATGCCCATCGACCGTGCCGGAGCCGGAGCTGATTATGATCGATAATCTATTGATTGCGAAAGTAACATGAAGTCGCAGACGAATTCAAATAGGCCTATTTAGAAGGCTTGTGATGCGTATCAATGAGTCTCCTGAAAACGATAGAAACCACTTTTAGACCTTTCCAGTCTGTCTATCTGCGTCCGTCAGTGAGTCCGTCAGGGTTACCTTTTGCTGGTATGAGCACTTAACGACACCACTCGCTAATGCACAGAATAAAAGGAGATGCAATGATTTCACGGTCTTATAAAAGTAAAATAAAACTTAACAGTGGAGTCTGAGGGAGGAATTTTAAACATAGAACTATCCGATAATGCAGCTTTATTCTGGGGAAAATAATGATATTTCCTGGAATTAAAGCAGCATTCTCGGATAGTTCACTGTTCAAAATTTACCCTGTATGTGTGAATATAAATGTAGATATAGATATTGGTATCGGTTCTTTTCCAATATCGGAATTATCGGTATATCGGATATGGGCCAAAACTCAATATCGTTGCATCTCTACTTCTTATGATATATGGAATAAGAGGAGGTAAACTGGGATTCCAATGATATTCACTGGTTTTAGTTTATTTTATATTCAAATTTAATTTCTACTAATAAACTCAATATTATGTCGAANATTTTATATTCAAATTTAATTTCTACTAATAAACTCAATATTATGTCGAATAGACCACATCCGCGTCCCGCGGGACCCGCTTCGTGGTTAATAAATATTCAGCAGACATGAAGAACTCAAGATTACTTTCTATTTACATTAAGAGAAAATACAAATAGTAAAGAGATAAAGTTCGAACTTCAAAGAGCCACGCTTTGGACGGAAAGTAGGAGATGCTTATGTCATCAGGGAACCCTCAACTGGATTAATTTAATTTCTCAGCTTGTTCTGTCTCATAGAATTCAAGTGAGATACATAGTTAAAATTTCGAACACCACAGGCATCGGATGAGGAATGATTTTGAGCCGTGTACGGGATGAAGATGAACTCTATAGAACCGTTCCGATCCGCATTTTGGTCGGCCAGCGAGGTCCGCAATCAAGTTTCTTGTTTGGCGTAGGCGAATACGCTTTCAGAGGGTCTTTCCCTCCAGCCGCTTACAGCTGTTGAAGGACCTTTGTTCGGTGCTCACATAGGTCACAAAGGTTCGTCAGCCATGTGGTGCCATGTTATGTGACGTTATGGGATGGCTGCTAGCGTCGGCAAAGCCGCCGATTCTATTAATAAACCCAGAGACCCCGATTTTTCAAGCTTAGAGCCCTAAGGAAGCAGCGAGTCGGCCCCATCGGTCAACTCGCAGACATTGTCGCTCGTTCTGCCAAACATTGATAGAAGGAATGCGGCTCGTTTGATTGCCTTCGTCCGGTTTTTTCTGCGGTTAGTTTGGGTATATAGCAAAAACTCAAAAGTACTGAGTGCATAATTTGAATAATTCAGGTGATTGAGTTTTTATTTTGGGGGAATACACGGCATATGTCATGAGCACAGAAGGCAGGGGGAGGCTGGCAAGAGAGGACGAAAGAAAGCCTGGGGACGGACGGGACTTAAACCCTGGGCTTCCTGATTGCCGGTCTGCTGCGCTACCATTACACCAGCGAACCCGAGTAACAAAAGACCATGGTGCCAATAACCACACAAGGGTTTCTGTTCCAACGAAAACGGCACTCTCGCCCTCCGCTCAACGTGGCTGTTCGGGTGCGCGCGCACGCCACTCCTTGCTTGCCTAGCCTTCAGCTCACACACTTCTTAATATTAAAATCCCTATTTCTTTCCTTGTTTTTCTCACTTAAAATAGGCAGAAACGCAATCTACTTATAAAGAGCGTCCGTTCCATGTATCACATGTACCATCCGGCGGAAGGTACATGTGATGTTGGGAAGTTTTTCCCTCAGGGAAATTTTAATTCGCAGAAAAATAATGTTTATTTAGTTATCAACGTAAAGGGCGTCGTTGAGATCGATGAGACAGCGTAGTCCGATCCGAGAGAGAGCACTAAAAAAGCAGCGTCGGGAAAATAAACTCACTAACTTTTAGACTAATTTATTTAATTAGCATGTTATATTTTTTGTTCAAGGTTTCTGACCATGACTATCAATAAGAGACCACTGTCCCCTTCACACGATTTCTCCTTCATGGTTAGGCGATTCGGTAAACTGCGTAGGATGA